TCTCTCTTCACTAAGCTCAGATGCTCACCATGTTATATTTTCTCTTTAATTTCCCACTTATGATAAACCATCTGAATTTGAAGTTTGTTTTGCTTGTGAATATTCCCTTTCTGTAAAACTCCCTTCTCATCTCTCCCTGTATGTTGGGTTTAATGGATTTAAACACCAAACTTTTTTTTTTTTGGCAAGGCAATTAGGGTTAAGTGACTTGCCCAGAGTCACAGAGTTAGTGAGTGTTATGCGTCCGAGGCCGGATTTCAGCTCAGGTTTTCCTGACTCCAGGGCCAGTGCTCTATCCACTGTGCTGCCCCTAAACACCAGACTCTTGCTTTCTTGCATCCTCTTTTGTCAATTTCAGATGTGAGTCAGGTTAATAAGATGTCTGATCTCCTCCACTCAAGTCTCTTCCCACTCCAATCTGTCCTCTGCACAGCTGCCAAGCCGATTTTCCTATGGGGCAAGTCTGCCCGTGTCGCCTCCAGCTCAGTTAACTCTAGTGGCTCCTTATTACTGTTAGCAGGATCAAATACAGAGTCCCCTGATTGTCATTTGAAAGTCTTCATAGTCTGGCCTCTTCCTGCCTGTCTATTCTTATACTGCCCTCAGTGTACTGTGATCCAGCTATGCAGGCCTACTTGTAGTTCCTCGAACATGTCGCCAACTCTGTGACTTTCCACTGGCTGTCTCCCATCTCTGGAATGTTCTGCTTCTTCACCTCCACCTCTTAACTGTCCAGGTTTTCTTCAAAACTCAGTTCAAATTCTACCTCCTGTGAGAGGGTCTTTCCCAGTCCCCTCAACGAATAAAGCCTTAACCTTTCAGGCAGGAGCCTGATGCTGGGTTTGACTATATCAGATCTCTCCTTACTACAGTCCATTCTCCATTCAGCTGCTGAAGTGATTTTTCTCAAATATAGGTCTGATCATGTCACACACACACACACACACACACACACACACACACACACCCCACCCAATAAACTCCTGTCACCTTCAGGAGCAAATACAAAATACTCTGATATTCAAAGCACTTCATTACCTAGCTCCCTCTCTCTTTTCCAGTCTTCCTTAAGATGCTGCTCAAACATCACCTCCACAAAACCTTTCCTGATGTCTCCAGTTGACCTTAGTCCCGAACACATACTCTTCAGTCCAGTGACACTGGCCTCCTGGCTATTTCACGAACAAGATATTCTGTCTCTCAGCTTTGGCTTTTCTCTGCAGCTTTCTGGACCATAGGATTTGGAATTGAAAGTTATTTTAAACTTTAGTCCTTTATGCTTATTTTACAGATGAGGAAACTGAACCCTAGTTCATGACTTGTCTGAGATCACACAGATGGGTAACAGAGCCATGATCTGAACGCAGATCTTCTGGCTTTGAAAATAGTGTTCCTTTCACAATCGTATGCCATTCCCTTAGCTGTTGGTTTGGTGAAGATGTAGTAAGCACTTATGACTTCATAAGTACTTGTTGATTGATTTTGGGGGGGAGACCTAACATTAGAATTGCTGTGACAAGATTGTGCTTTTTAAGTATACAAAAGAAGAACCAGATGAAATAATAATAATAAGTATAGTTCTTACCATGTGTCAGGTACTTTTATAATTATCTCATTTGATCCTCACAACAATGCTGGAAAGTAGGTGCTGTATTATCCTCACTTTATAGATTGAAACCGAGGCAAACAGGTTAAGTGACTTGCCCAGGGTCACACAGCTGGTAAGAGTCTGAAATCAGATATGAACTCATGTCTTTTTGATTCAGGGCCCAGCGCTCTATCCATTGTGTTACATAGCTGTCCTAATAATAGATCAAAGAGCAGTAAGAAGAGGTGTTCCCCTCTCCCATCCACTCTCCTCCTGACTGTTATCTGGATTTCTAGGCATTGATACCATCTATTCTTGAGACAGAAGAATTGTCGCCATTATATTAGCAACAAATATGAGAGAAATACGTCCCATTACCCGGAGTTTGTGAAATTAGAAGTTTTCTCCCTGTTGCCTTTTTGTTGTGTTATTATACTAAAATGGTGTCCTTTTCAGAGCACCCTAGTGCTATGGTGATAGTTGCTATAGAGATACCTAGGACCTGTGTTTGTAATATTCTTGGATAACATCACTTTTTAATGTTCAGGTCTTCTAAAGACCGATCATCTTTTTTGGCCATCTGCAGACAAAATTTGGAAACTGCTAAGAAACTCTTCAGAAGGCTATGGTTCTGTTCTTTAGCCAAGAGGAGAACATACCCAGTACTGAAGGGGTGGTAGGCAGAAGTGAAACGTTAGTACTCAGTCTAATCTGATTATTCTCTTCCCCCCAATAATCCTCCCCCAGTCAATCAACAAGCATTTATTAAGAGTGTGTGTGTGTGTGTGTGTGTGTGTGTGTGTGTGTGTGTGCTTGCACACACATGTCTGTATGTGTATCTCTGTTGGCCCTGGGAATTCAAGTACAAATAATGAAACAGACCCTACTCTCAAAGATCTTCCCTTTTGGTTGGGGAGCCAAGTACACATATAAGTATATAGTGCATTAATATAAAATTAATAAATACAAAGTAGTTGAGAAGGAAAGCGCTAGCAGCTGGGGACATCAGGAAAGGCTTTGTGTAGAAGGTAATATTTGAGTAGCCTCTTAAAGAAGAAATGGATTCTGTGAAGCAGAAATGATGAGGGAGTGTGTTCTAAATATGTGGGACAGCCAGTGAAAAGGCCAGAAAGACACAAAATGAAGTGTGCTGTGTTGAAAACAAGCAGAAGCCAATTTGTCTTGATCTCAGAGTATAGGAGTGGCAGTAATGTCCAGTGAGTCTGGAAAGATAGGTTGAGTCCATGCTGTGAAAGTTTTAAAAGCTTAATAGAGGAATTCATATTTTATCTTAGAGACAATATATGACAGAAATGTAGACAATGACAGAAAGAGAGAAGTTTTGAAGGGGGGAAGTAATAAGGGGAAGTGTGGGGAAGGTGATGAGTCATTTTGGACACAGTGAACTTGAAATGTCCCTGGGTCACTGTCTACTTGGCAAACTGATGATGCAGGACTGAAACTTGGGAGAAACTAGGATGTTCATTCTATCTGCCTATCTATTCATCGAACACATAAAGATGATAGTTAAACCCCATAGGAACTGATGGGTTCTCCCAAGAGGGAGAAAGAGACTGCAGAGGGAGAAGATGAGAGTTCAGAACTTTGGGGAACACCCGCAATTAGGGGTTGTGATATGGATGTCTAAATAGCAGAGGAGACTGAGGAGCATCCAGAAGAAAAGGGAGATCCAACAGTGTCCAATGCAGCAGAGAGGTCAGGAAAGGAGTGCAGAGAAAAGACCATCAGGTTTGGTCATTAAGAGATCATTAACTCTGGAGAAAACACATTCAGTTAAGCGAGGTTGATGCTAGAGTACAGAGCGGAGGGGTGAGTGAGAAGTGAGGAGGTGGAAGCTTTTCTTCTAGGTAGCTTTTTCAAGGAGTTTGACTACGAAAAGAAGAGAGATCTAGGACAATAACTTGAGGGAACTGTAAAGTCTGTTGAAGGTCATTTTTAAGGATGAGGTAGCCTTGGCCATGTTTGAAGCCAGTAGGGAAGTAACCAGTAGATAGAGGTTGAAGATTTAAGAGAGTGTAGAGAGATTTCTGATTAGGAAATCAGAACTCTTACAAGTAATGACAAGACTGCACACACTGCAATACGTGACCATCCCTCTGGGTTGCTGAGGTGAAGAAGTGACTCATAGGAATCGAAACTGAGTAACCAGGAGGTTAGAAAGTGTGGGGCACATCTATGTGAATGCTGGCGTAGGGACGTCTAGAGGAGAACCAGGAGTAAGAAGGACAGAGTGGGTCCAGTGGGCTCCGTTGCATAGTTTCCTCCAGGTCTTTGGCTGCTCTCTCGTTCAGTATCCAGCCGGTTACTATCCAAGTGAACACAGGCCACAAAACAGAGAGAGGCGCCCTGAGGAATTCTTGTGGGAAAATTCATATCCAAGCCTTCACAAAGTCGATTTAGGTCTCTGGACTTCATTTCTTCCCCTTCCCTGTCATGACAATCCTAACAAACCTCATGGGACTTACGGAAGCTGGAGACAGTCCTCAGTAAATCCGTGAAGAAGGCTTGTGCTCTTGCTTCCTCACTGCTTCCGATGCTCCCACCTTCTCCTTCAGTGAGTGCATTGATGGTAGCTGGTTAGCACTATCGTCTTTGGATATAAAGGAAAGTTCACTCTGTATGTTTATATATGAATGCTCTGTGTGAGTATAATACTCTCAAAAATGATTCTTCTGAGAATGTTGATGATAAATTTGGTCTACATGCACAGATTTCTTTAAAAAGTGTTTTTAAAAAGTCTGCTTTTAAAAAAGTGGTGGTTCTTTGGGTGGGGGAAGGGGCAAGCAATATAGGAGGAAAGATTTTTTACCTAGATTTGGTAAAGTAAAAACAAAAAATATCAACAAAATCTATTTTTAAAATATCTTACAAGCACCCAGAGCAGTATTACCAACTGGTATACTGGACCTGAAATGGCATGGTCTTTCTCTTCCATTTTCTCCTCCTAGTTTTTGGCCTAACATATTTGGTGTCGTACCTTTCCCAGAAATACCTTTCTCTGTTATTTACATCTGCCTCTCATTCAAGCCCACCGTTAATTCATTTGTTTCCTGTTGCCAAACTGATCACTTTCATTTGTTTCCAACATATTTCTGAGCCAAGTGCAGAAATCAGAAGCTTAAAAAAATTTTTAAATGGCCTTCACTTGACAATGGAATTGCAGTGGGTAGGTGTGGGCAGTGTTTAAAGACTAAATAAAGGTACTGGGTAAGAGCACATATGCTGAGAGGTGTTTCTTCTTCATTCTTTCCATAGCAACTTTATCTGCAAGATACAATATTTTGCTAGTGTTATATTTTACATAGTACAGCTCAGGCCTAAAGCTGGTTGCCTGGAATACATTCCCATCCATGCATCCCCTTGTTTGATTTTTCTTCTTCTTTCTTCCCAGGTGGCATTGGCAGGGTGGTCAATGGAGCCTTCATGGTGTTGAAAGGCCATAGGTCGATTGTCAATCAAGTCCGGTTCAATCCCCACACCTACATGATCTGCTCCTCTGGTGTGGAAAAGATTATCAAGGTCAGAACTCTACCTTATTCTTGCCTTTTAGAGAAAAATTGCCATAGTATTGTAACTTGAGTTAGATGGAATCTGACAGCGCCTCAGATAGGGTTCACAACCCAACTGTTTAACCAAGGATGATCTTAGTAATGATGCTGGAGATCAGGGAAGCAATTTGGGAGAGGAAATGTGTTTTTATAATATTTGTGAAAGGAAAAGCAAACTGTACGTAATAGAGATTGACGTTTTCATGCACAATCATCTTTTTCTGTTCGGTTTTATGTGTTAAAATGCTTATTTTATATGGTGTTTAAATTTAGAGCGAAGAAATAAAACAAACCAAAAAAGTGTCATTTTGGGGTTTATTTTGGTTATCAGTTAAGTATCTTTCAGAGATTGCCTCACATTGCTACCATGTTTCCAGTTGTCTCTTGCCCTTAGATCTGATTATTTTTGCCTGCCAAACTTCATGTTGAGATTAAGGGGATATGTTGTCTAAAATTCATTTTTCCATTTCCCATCGATTGCTGCTATAATTTGTCAAGTCTTTAACTAAAGGGTTCTGAGAACCACTGGCCAAAATACACTGAAAAACGAACCAAAAAATTGCATGCAGTTGTGTTTGAGGTCGTTTGAGAAAACTGAAATAACTTTAATTAATTTGTATATTGACTAAATTAAATCATTTTCTGCTAGGTATATTTTTATAGTCTGCAAGTAAGACACCAAGCTTGGCATATATCCTTGGTAAGATGGCCCAGTGCCCATCACTCACAGTCCAGCTGCTAGGAGTCTTGACTACTTTCCCCATTTGGTCTTTGTGATTGCCACCTTTCCATTTTGGACTGACACCTCATGTTGACTGTCATTTTATCATTTAGGGAGCATCCGTGTGATCATTTTAATGACTGAGAAATCCTCCTTGACCCTATAAGTCAGTAGTCTCTGTGTGTGTGTGTGTGTGTGTGTGTGTGTGTGTGTGTGTTGTGTGTTTAGAAGAGGAGAATGATTTGGAATAGTGCCTTCAAAGCCTTCATACCCCTATTGTCCTAAAAGTATATTACCAGCCAGGAAGATTTATAAAGGAAAATGAACATTTGCTAGGCAGAATTTTTAAAAATCTTTGTCATAACTATCTTAAATCTGATGGCAGACAATGGCTTACAGAGGTACAATGCAAGTGGTAGAAATTGTAACTCGTGTTTGTCCATAGCTCTACTTCCTTCAGACTCATCTTATTACTACTTTAGCCCTGGGAGCCATTGCTAATTTGCATGACTTTACATATTACCCTGAGAAATTTTTCCCTAAATTGGCCTGGTTTTCCAAATCTCTGGTCCCAACCTCACTGAAGTATCTCTACACGTAGACTTCTGACTTAGTTTGTGGCTGGAATCTGGACATTTCTTTCCTGGCTTATTGCTAAATGAATTTTGGGTCAGTTTTTGTTTTGTGACAGTCTTCTGTTAGCCCTATGGCTTATCTGGTTGATATCTCTATGATAATTAGGATTCCCTTTGTATTAAAACCGGTTTGTGTGTGTTTTCAAAAATATGAATGCAGATATTCTGATAACCTTTTTTGGATTTAGTGACTGCAGATTCCTCCCCTTCAGAATTCTTAGCAGTTTACTTGATTTTGCTCAGAGTCCTGAATTCTTTGAACCTTTCTTTTGACTAATTGACTGAAGTGTTGGCACCAGAACATGTTCTGTCTAGGCACAGATGACATAATTCTTTTACTCCAGGGAAGCTCTACTTGGGCACTTCCTATAGAATAGAGCTTCCTGTTTGGCCTTTTTTATGTACTGAACCCCACAGACTACTGTTTACTCAACTGAAGTCCTTAAACTTAAGATCACTATTGGGAAGCCAGCCAAGGTCTCAGAAAAGGAAAAGAAGAGAATGTTTTTTACATGAGGCCAACCACACTGAACTGGGGAGATCACTGCTCCAGAGTCTCAATTGTTAGCTTCTATACCAAAAGGATTAGGATCACTACACCAGGATAAGGTGAATCTGAATCTGAATTCAATCTGAATTTTTAAGAAATTATAGTACCTATATCTAGAGGGAAAAGGCAACAGTTAAAACTGAGCTTGGTTTTATCTGAAGTGTATCTGCTTTGGTGGCAGTCCAACTGCAAATTGCATGGGAATCGGAGACGGTGGAGATAATATTTCATATACTGCCTAGCACATAGTAGGCGCTTAATAAACTCTAGATGCCTGATTGCTAAGCAGAGTGAGATGAGTCTCTGTCCTGGCCAACAATCACCTCATTCTGAGAGGCAGCTTTGGGCATGCTCTGGGTCTGGCTCCTATTGTAAAGGGGGTATTCACTCTGGTGACTCGCCCCTCAGGAATGTTGTGGATTGACTGGTGTGAGCCGTTTAACATTCTGATGATTATTTCTAGAGGGCTAACAGACTGCATAATCATTGAGCCAAATTCCAGTCTTGCCACAGAACTGCTTTTTTCCCCCCACTGAGCTCCACCCACCCTTCTCTTTTCCTGATTGTTCCAAGGGCACCTTTTTCTGCCTCCCAAGGAAGAGGTCCGTACTCTCAGTTGGAGTGAATGCTTGCTCTCATTAGCTCCTGCCTCCCTCTGAAAGCTGCGTATTTTGTAGGTAACAAATGCAGAGGCAGTGAGGAATGGCCTGGACAGAAAACTGGCCTAGAAGCCAGGATAGGTCCAGTGCTGCCTTTGGCACATAATGAGCTGTGTGACTTTGGACGAGTCACTTCTCTACTCCTAAGCAGTGCCCTAAAACCTCAGGTGCAGAGAAAAGGCTGACCTGCAAGGGTGGAGAGAGTTCCCAATTCTAGTGAAATCGTCAGTTGCGTCCTTATCCCTGTCCCTGTCCCTGATAGGTTGGAAAGGCAAGATTCTTTCAGACACCTTTGCTTAGGTAAAGCACTGGACCTGGGCTCCAGAAGACCTGAATTTAAAGCCAGCCTCCAGCACGTTCTGGCAGCATGACTCTTGGCAGATCGCATAACCTTTGTTGACCTCAGGTTCCTATCTGTAAAATGGGAATAATAAGAGCACCTACTTTTTCCTTCTCAGATGGAAAATCTTCCAAACAATTTAAATTAGATTGTTACTATGCTATAAGAAATATGTAACAGTCACCTAAGTACAGATCAGCAGACTGGTTGTGTAACGATACTCCTAGTTAAGTGTTTGAACAAACAACCAGACTCTGTACCTGCCTATAAAGTTAAACTCTTCCCCCTGAGAATATTTCTTTACTCCTCTGTTTTCTCATGAACCCAGCATGCTAACAGTCAATAAACATTAAGCGCCTGGCCTGTACCAATGCTGCCCCAAGCACCAGGGATACAAAAAGAGGCAAAAACCAGTTCCTGCATTCAAGGAGCTTACAGTCTGAAGGGACGAAACTTATCAATAAATAGAGACAAAGCAAGCTATACACAGGATGTGTAGAAAATAATTAAAAGAGGAAAAACACTGGAATTAAGAGGGGTTGGGGAAGGCTAAAGGAGGAATTTTCATTAGGACTTAAAGGAAGCTAGGGAGACCATTAGTCAGAGTGGAGGAAAGAGAGCATTCCAGGCATAGGGAGCGACCAGAGAGAATGCCCAGAGCTTGGAGATGGAGTAGCTTGTTCATGGAATAGCCAGAAGACCAGTGTCACTGCATAAAAGAGTATGTGTGTCATGGAATGCCACTTTTACACCGCCCTTTCCCCCAAGTCTATTTTATTTCATATTTGTTAGAAAGAGCTTTCCTTTTGTTTCTGTGATAGCTTGTTAACCTTCAGGATAATGAAGCAAACCATCATATGTAGAACACAAATTCCTGGCGAACAAGAACTGTCTGGGTTTTATCTTTGTGCCCCGGTACCTAGCACAGTATTTGCACATACTAGGCACTCTTGAATTGTGTACTGTTTTAAATTTGATGTTTAATTTTAGTGATAGTAGAACAAGAGAATAGGGTCTTGTCACAAAAGACGCATTCCACTGACACTTCCCAACCCTCTGGATGAAATAGACTACTCGATGGATTCTTTGAGAGTTTCATTCATCTCAAAAAAGAAATTAAGGAATGAGCAGCCCTCCTAGACTTTCTCAGCCCGTAGAATTTACCTTTAGGGAAATTTAGAGTATGGACCATGAGAATTACTAAATCAAGTCTTTTCACCATTAGCTATCGTAATTCTCCTAGCTTCTTATATACTCCTTAAGAAGCAAAGAAAAAGTTGAAAGTTATTTTTATCATATATCCAAAAGAAAGAGAACCATTATTTCATGGGATATTTAATACTGGCATACCTGATAATCAATGCTAAGTATGTGCCAAAAGACTACCATGAAAATAATTGCAACTGGTTGTTAGGGATGAAACAGCAGAGAAAAACTATGAGGACCTTGATAATGCCCTTCAAATTCAATAAACATACACTCTGATACTTGGTAACTTCCATTCAAGGGTGGCAAAAGGTAAGAATGGGAAGAAATCTATGAGAAAGCATGGTTCCAAAAGAAAGAATGAGAGACGCCAGAGACTCACATCATACAGAAGTCTGACACCTTTATATCAGAAATTGATAGGGTGTTGGAAGCAGCAGGCCCCAAATAGCATAACAAAGCGAAAAACAAAACCTGACAGACCAGGAAAGATGCTACCGATGTGGGAATTATCCCTAACTCTCTTATCTGTGTACAGTCAGACCTTTAATTTAACAAAGCTAATCTCACAAGTTATAAAAACGAAGAAGAATAATGATGAGAAAAGGATATAGTGTACAACTGAAACAACGTAATCTTGAACTATGTACCTAAATATTTGACAATTTAAAAATGGGAAATGGATGTAAATTATATAAAAAACAGTTTAGTAATTTTATAAAGACTTTTAGCCATTGTATAATTACCACAACAAAGAGAACAAAAGAGCCCAGAAAATACTTTTGTCAGCAGACTTTTTGATTTACTTGCCAACCAAGAGAAATGGCTACCAGAGGAACAACTGGATTAGAATATAAACC